ACCAAGGGAACAGCACATGCAAAGTCTCTGAGGTGGGGTCTTGTCTGATGTGCTCGAGGAACAGCAAGAAGTAAGGGGAGGGTGGTAACAGGAACATCCGATCATGAAAGACCATGCAGGCCTATGTAGGTTTTCTGTCATTAACTGAGTGATACGGAATCCACTGGGGCATTAGGAGGTCTTAAGAAGTAGAATAATGTGATCTTAGCATGTATAAAGTACCCCCAAGTCATTATTCTCAGAAGCATGGGGAGTAAAAGGATAACTGTCACAATCTCTGTATTTAGGGAGTATACACCCTAGACAGGGAGACAGCATGTGCACAAAAAACTACAGAGGTAGAAAGCAATACATAGAAGAACACACTACAAAAATGGAGTAAAAAGGTAAAAGAGGAAGTCTTCATGGAGGAGGTGATATATGAGTCAGATCTTGAAGGATGAGAAAAGTGTCAAGAAGATTATAAGGGTATATTGGTAGTGGTAATCATTGGGGGATGGGATCCAACATTGGCAGGCCATCAATGGCATGCTAAAAAAAAGTAAAATCTGTTTTATTCATAAGCAATGGGAACTGATGTTGCTTTTGGTGAAAAGAATAACATGATCACTGTCCAAACTTGTCTCCTGAACAAAGAGCAAGCCTGGACCCTGAGAGGGTCTCCAGGGACAGAGCTGAATGAAAAGCTGTGAGTTGAAAGCTGGGCAGAGTACTGGTGTGAGGCAAGAGGATAGAAGCACGGGCCACAAGCCTAGGATGAGATGGTTTGGAATAGAGAGTTAGGGGCAGTCTCTACTGTGATCCTCTGAGCTACAAAGATATAGCTTCTGATGCTTTGTATGTGGTGCTTATAGCCTTGACAGTGAGTGAAGAGGTAGCTGTTAAGATGTCCAAGCTGTCTTGAACAATCAGTTCATGTCCCGAAGTGATACCTGACAGCAGAGTAAAGGATGGGTGTGATGAGCCTCCTGTGTCAGGGAGGTAATTTGGGAGGCTGATTGCAATTGCTCAAGGAAGAGATTCGACAGCCTTAAGCGGTGCTGTGGAGGAGGGAATGGAAAGCAAGGACTGAAATGTGGGGTTGCTTAGGTAGTTAGAACAGTTAAGGGGATTCGGGAGAGAAGGAGGAATGGAGAATGACTTTAAAGACTCAAGGTTGGGAATTTTAAAGAATAATGCCACTAACTAGAGAGGTAGGATGTAACAGAGCTTGCTAGCTGGACACCAAAATCCATTCTCACCTTCTTCATTAGTATCAAAATTATAACTGGGTATATAGCTACCTAGCTACACTAAATTTCCCAGCTTCCTTTGCAGTTAAATGTG